AAAGTTATTCAGGGTGGTCCAATTTTTACTTTGCGCACTGTACATTGCTTCCAGTTTAAGGCCCCCTCAGAGGATTTAGTCACGCTAATCAAGCATATTGCTGATAGGTTGATTTCGATGTTATACTCGCTGTTCCAACATGTCCCACAAAGGGTGGTTCAAGTCTGGTGATTTAGAATGCCGATCGAGATGTTATATGGGATGTGAGTGTTCATATTACCAATCATATATTCTTCTAGTTCAATATACTTTATTATTGCCATTTAGAAAACAGAGGTTTGCTCATCAGGAAGATGTTGATTAAAAAGCAACTCTCGATTATACTGAATGTTGAAATAAACATAACGTTAAAATGAACATAAAATAAACTCTTTCAATATTAACAAAAACTTACAGACTTATGAATTTTCTATTTTTCATTTTGGCGCAATTTCTTAAAACAAATTTTACATTTTTAAAAACATTCAAATTTAAAAAAAAAAGAACAATGATGATATTTTTTATTAAATTCTTTAAATTAAATATGATCACTAAGAAAAAATAGTGAGCTCTAGCGTTCTGCAATTATTTTAATTTTCTATTGAATAATTATTTTTCAATAATTTTTTTAAATTCAAATTAGCAACTAAAAATATTAGTTAATTATAGGATTAGGTTTAGAGATGGAAAGATTGCACTCAGTGTATAATATCGTAAATGGTTTAATATGTACATAAAAAAACGCCATTGGTAATTACTCAAAACTAAAAATTAATAACATTTAAGTGCAAAACTGTTTTTTTTTTATTTCCAGGCAGCGTCGATGCACTTCTCTCCTACCTTTCGTATACCCTTATATTTTCTAGGAAGTTATTGGTTAATTGTCGCCCATGTCTTAGTATCAAGTAATTTATGTCTTTAAAGTAAAAAAATAAATTAACAGTAAATTTACTAGCAAACTAATAAGATGTTTTCTTGCACTGCTTTATTTTATTTTATAACCGGCGTTGAACAACCGATCCAATTCTGAGTTTACTACTATAAGTGTTCAACTCCACAGTCTCGTCTTGTAATTTTCAATCCAACTCGGAAGACAAGGGAACTTCTGGATTGAGCATTGGGACAAACTAGCCTTCAGCGGGAACTCTTTGATGTAACTAACCAGCATTTGTGCAACATGGAGAGGAAAAACCACGGAAAACTCCCACGGTCAGCCTGACAGCAGATGGATTCTGAACCATGATCCATCTAACACGGAGATATTTTACGTCAGCACTGTGATCGGGAGCAGAATTCGTATCCACCAACCACCCCTAGGATTTGAACCCGGATCATTTCATTGAGAGGCGAAAGCTCTATCTCCTGAGCTGCTAATTAACTAACACTGCTCAAACTATTTTATTTTATTTTATTTTATTTTATATAACAGCCGACCCAATTATATGGGTTTATGACTACTAATGCTCAACTCCGTAGCTTTGTAATCTTGAACCCAATCCAGAAGACAAGGGAACTCCTGGATCGAGTATTGGGAGAAATTTGCCTTCGTGGAGGACTTTTTGATGGAGCTAACCCGCATTTGCGTTACATGGAGAAGAAGACCACGAGAACCTCCCACGGTTTGCCTGACGGCAAGGTGACTCTAACCCATGATCCGTCTACCACTGAGGATATTTCACGTCAGCACTGTGGTCGGTGCAAGCCGGATGCGGAATTCGTATCGACTGGGATTCGAACCCGGTTCGCAGCATTGGAAGGCGAACGCTCAAGATGCCCTGAGCCATCACGGCTCTTGATCAAACTATTTATAAAAAGTTTTAGCTAAAAGCTCTTGAATCCAAACATAAATTTATAATTTATTAATACATAATGTTAGGGTGATTGATACCGAAGCCTTATTGCAATCGTGAGATTAGTTTTGTAAAAGAAATATGTGTATTACTATTTATATCTTTTGAACGTACTCAAAGCTGAAAACATAATGAATAACAATACAAATAAATTCAGTATTCAAAGAATTAATGCTACTTTAATGAATCAGTCCCAAAAAAGGCTTAGAATTGGAGTGCATTCGATTATTTGCTTCTGATTGCATAATTGAGATTTACGTAAAAATTGCATTGTCCTTCTTTTACCGCTACTTCGAAATGACATTTTATTTTATTTCAACTCATCTACATCTGGATCTATCTTTTTTTATATCAGTCGTTAACGTAAGTGATGAACAAACATTACATTATTGGTACAGACATGAAACCCTTACACGAAATACGATTTATTATGCCCAATGTTCAAATCAAATATACTATTCTATTTGTTTATAATTTAGATAATATGATATGAATACAACGCATTTTGTCATTAAAGTATGCGTGGGGCTTCTAACGTAATAGGTAAGAAAACCCACGCATTTATTTCTAACCAAATATTTCGCAATCAAGACGAAAAGTCTTTTTTTTCCAATACTCCCGTAAAGCTCGTTCCCTGTTTTTTTTTAAAAAACTTTTCAGGCCTCAATCACTGTAAAGTTAGCTCAAAGCGTATTTTAATTCCATTCATATCTTATTGTAAACATTATTAAAATTAACATTTAAAGCACATATTTAAGGTTAAGCCTCGAACTATTCAGATAGAGTCCTAGCATGTGATAATACGATCATTAGAACAAAAGTTAGATGTTCACTTTTGTAAAATTCGAAGTACATATTTAAGGTTAAGCCTCGAACCATTAAGATAGAGTCCTAGCATGTGATAATACGATCATTAGAACAAGAGTTATTCAAGATGTTCTCATTTGTAAGATTTGAAGCACATATTTAAGGTTAAGCCTCGAACCATAAGATGGAGTCCTAGCATGTGATAATACGATCATTAGATCAAATGTTATTCAAGATGTTCACTCTTTTTCTTATTTTTTTCGCACTGTGTAATTTTTTGTTTTTTAAAAGTGATGAAATTATTCAAATTTTTGTCTGTTGGCTCCTTAGGAGCATTGTATCAAAAATATCACGCTTGGTGAGGAGAGGGTTTGTAAAATTGTTACAGTTTAAGACAAGATCCTAACTAAAAAGAGCCTAGTCAAATAAAAGCAAAAACTCTTATTAATAACAGATAGCAGCATCAAAATATAAAAAGGAAGAAAATTTATTTCTATGGGGTCATCTCAGAAAGCAAGATTATTGGAAGATTTTGGAGAGAGGTAAGATTTTTAAATTTTGTATAAAATTTAAAAAATAGTCCGTATCAGAAAAGCTATTTAACTTAGTACTTGTGTGAAATTATAGTAGGGCATGTTTTAAACGTATAATAAATGCTTTCGGGTCATTTTTAGAAGTTTAAAGGCGAATAATTGTGCAATTTCAAGGTAGTGACAATAAAACTGTTTGTTTACAAGAAGTGTACTTGTGAAATATGAATTCTTCTTGTCGGTTGTATTAACAAACTGGTCATAGCCTATTTAATACCAAGTAAGTTTCAATCCACCTTACTGATTGATAAAAATATTGATTGTGATCGATTATTTGCCAGGAAGTTTCATTCCTTTTTGTCGAATTGATTTGATAAATTACTCACATAAGCTGTTATAAACTGCATGTATGTTTTCAGTTGTATAATAAAGGTATTTATACTCTCACAAGATTTACATAAATATGTCAATTAATTGCATGAAATAATTTTATAATATTTAACTTTCATTCAACCTCGGTTTTGTTCTTATTCATATTAATATTCTGTCTGTGCTGTGTATATGCTTGATTAACAAACTAATTTTATTTAGAGAAATATATTGTATGCATGCATCCTTTATTTATGATTCCTGTTTTAGATAGTATCGTAAAAGTAACTTATCTGTGATTCTTATGTGTATCATATTCGACTATAATTATAAATTTTAGTGTAACTGAATAACAAATATGGTGGTGACTACTTCACTCAACACCTCCTACAACTGAAAGCCTCTACACGGTCCGATCAGACCACTGTGAAGTCAAACCGGTTTACGAAAGAGCCATTTAATAGAAAATATAGTAAAAATAAGAAAGTGGTAGCAAATATATGTCAAAAAATTATTTCTTTAATTTATTAATATGATTGGTTTGTCTTATTCACTTGTCAACCACCACAGATTCAATTCTCAAATATATATATGATAAATTTCTCTCAATTACTTTTAAAATAGAATTTGGGTTCATGCTCACAACTGGTTCACTTTTTAAAAAGTCTGTGCAGATTACTTATAAAAAACCGTGTGGAAGGCTTTTTGATGTAGGAGGTGATGGTTTCACTACACTTGGAACTAACCTCGGTTTTGATGTAATTAAACACTCAGAGTAACACCACTTTGGTGCAAAGTAGTTGTGCCACCATTTTTGGTGTTGAGATACTCGAAAATTTCTGTCAGTGCACTGACAATCACTTTTTTCTAAATTTAAACAATTTTTAAATGGAAAAACAATTTAATTCCGAAAATGTTGTAAAACTGGCCATTCAGGAAATCTCATCCTGGTTCTCATCCTCAATCAGAGCTTTTTTTAATTTGCCAGAACAAACTGTCGCTTGCATAGAATGAAATAGTTTCTTACATCTGTAAGCTATCGATCAATTTTGCGCTTAACAATTTATGCCCAACAAGTCTACTGTTTGGCGACCTAATATGTAATAAAAAGAAAAGTTTTTCATATTCAGCAATCGCCTCATTTCGATAATCCATCAATGTAATCAGATCAGGAAACCATGATGACAATGATTGGATTCTCTTTTTTCTTCTAAGCTCTGTAACTCCTCAACTATATCAGAGTAGAAATAACTAGATCTACTTAACTTTTTCAAGGTTCTATGATCCAACAATTTGATCAGGAAATAATGAAAATGACTGGATCTATTTTATTTTTTCAAGGTTCTATGATCCATCAATGTGATCAGGAAATAATGAAAATGACTGGATCTATTTTATTTTTTCAAGGTTCTATGATCCAACAATGTGATCAGGAAATAATGAAAATGACTAGATCTATTTTATTTTTTCAAGGTTCTATGATCCATCAATGTGATCAGACCGTGATGACGATGGTAGGATCTATTACTTCCCCTGGATATCCAGGCTACTTTGGGCCAAACTACTATTGCGTGTACAGTATTTATCGACCTGATATTTCAGTATGTCAACTGGAATTAGAGTTCATCGAATTCAGTGTGGGAAAACACAATCCAGTTAGCTGCTCGTCTGGAGCTTATTTAGAATTACCAGGGAAAAACCGTTTGTGCCATGACATTGATGGAAAAAGTAAGAATTCTAAAGAAAAAAAAATTTTCCTAAAAGGAATAAATATATTATTTGCAATAATTGAAAAAGATATACTATTTTTTTTTTCTTTTTCACTTTATAAGAAATAAAATATTTAAAATACGATTTTCGAAAAATAATAACCTTTTAATTCGTCAATTTTTTCGATTAATATTAAAAATAAAGTTTATTTTAAAGCAAAATAAATACTAAGCGTTAATTATTTAGTTAAGCGAAACAAAATTTAAAATTTTCATAAGCTACTAAGATCAAAAGTTTAAAAAAAAAATGACGAATTTTTTGATTTTTATAACATGTTATTCGATATGCTTTCATTCAATGACTGTATTATTCGAAGAGTCAAAAATCTGGGCCCCTTAATGTTAATTTCTGCAATGGCCAAAACTTTCGATAGCTCTCCTGCTTAAACTATTGAGAATATATTTTACATATTATGTATATACTCCTTACATTTTGGAGTAAAATATGCAAGTCTGTCGAAATAATCTGTCTTTTATTTTAGAAAAGTACTTTTATATGTCTGGTTTCATAACTAAAAATATCGTTTGCGTTACTTTAGTTATCAGCATATTAAAGGTTAATCTCTTGAAACCATTAAGATTGAATCCTAGTAAGTCAATATCAGATCAATCTATCAAATTATTAAACTCATTGAAATCTTCGCTTTTTTCTTTTACGATCAGGAAAACTAAAGTGAATGGAAACAATATAGTCTTAGGCAAATCTAAAAACCAATGATATGATTCAATCGATACAAGCATGCTCATTCTTAAATTGGAAATAATTAAAAAAAATTTTTTAGAATTCAAACATCGAAAAGATTTTATTCCAGAAAAAAATTATTTAAAAAAAACATTTCTTTAAATTCTTAATGGAATAGAAAGCTTTTATATTTCAACAGAGATGCCAAATGCTCCGGACACGCCAAAACAATTTAAAAAACGGTAAATATCTTCAAACTAAAATTTGCAAATATTTGACTATTTTTGCTTACTTTTAAAAGGTTTAGCATGACTTAACTATAACAAAGTAGCGAATTATATAAGCCTGCGAATTAATTAAAATAGTTGTGGATAAAAACCTTATAAATTGAATTTATTAAACCAAGAATCACAATTAATAAATTACCACTCAAAAATATTTATTCTCTGTCCGGAGCAAGTTAGCATTTCAGTTTCCATATCAATTTTCCTCCTAAATTTTTTAAGAGTTGTACAAGCCAAAATCCCAAAAATTAAATCGCTCAAAAGTATTAATCATTATTGGTTTTTAATCGGCAAAAGTATGAAGAATAACATAAGATCATTCATTAAAACACTCTTCGATTTATTATCATCGAATTTTTCCGCATCTGGAACGTAACTTTTTGTTATACACTTCTAGCAGGTGCTGCTTCAGAAATAGTTGTACTTTCATTATTGCTATAGATTTTTCATGTCTTAAGAAACTTGAAAATCCTTTTTATAGGTTGACCTTATAAATACTTAGTTTATACAATACTTTAAAACCCTCAAGCAAAATTTAATATCTCACATAATTTTACAATTTCATCGTGATTTATAAAAAAGGAGTTCCCCTTCGTTCTTCTCGTTTATTATAAGGAAACTAAAGAATGAGTTATGCAGAAAAAGGGAAAGCAAAAAAATAGCTGCCCAAAATTGCCCCGTTTGATTTTATTAATAAAATTGTAAAGATAAAAAAAAATTATTATTTTTTCGAATTTTTAATGTAACGATTGTTAAAAAAAAATTAAACACGATTTTTATATTACTTTCATTGGATATAAAAAGATACAATGAAGTAAATATAATCAATTTCTACTTTTTCTTAGAATTTCTATCATATATCAGTACTTTTATAACAACACTTTGAAAACTAATAGCTGTTTGAATTGAAGATATCAATTCATTGTCGGTAAGAGGTAACAATCAGTTAAAAGTATGTGTGCAGTTTTGTGAAATTATTAGTGCAAAATTGTAGTTTGTAAAATTGTTGTTTATTTAAAATGTTGGTATTTAAAATCGATCAAGAAAAGATTTTAGATTAGATTTTTTTCAAGCGATTAGTGAACCGCTTATTTCTCCACACTGTGATCCTAAAAACTCAATCCCATAATTTGAATACATATTTTTTGTATATATTTTGTACGAAAGAATTTAATTATCATATAAAATAATCCAATATATAAGAGAATTAAATATGATTTTTAAAAAAAACTAGTCCATAAGAACGCAGATTTTATTTATTTTTTGTTACTCGCCCTAATGCTATAATAAATTATAAATAATATGTTTAGGAGTAATACGTCAATCTTAAATGTTTTGAATAACAATAAAAATATAACTGTTATGAAGTAATTAGCATGATTAATTAGACATATTCAATTAAACGCCTCCATTTTGAATATTAAAATTCTAACATCAGAATCTTATCAGCGACCTCGAAAACCCATATAATGAAGAATTTTTGAAAATATGTTTCGGAAGTATCAGTTTTGGCCAGTTTTTTCCGAGTTTCAACCACTGTGGGTCGATTCTTAAATGGTTAATTACTGCTAAAAACTAACTTTGCTAGACATGGTTCCTATAAAAATAATCTTTTATTTAAAGTCACTGATAGAAATAAAACTAAGAAAAATGTAGTCTTCCTGAGAAAAATTTTTTTAAAAAGAAAGATGACATGATTATAATCTTGACACTGCTGAAGCTTATATTAATGTTTTTTTTTCAGTGACCATAAAAGTGTCCGAATTCCAGGATCCTGTGACTTTCGAGTTTCGTAGCGACAGCCGCATCTCAGGAAGAGGTTTTTACATACAAATAACTCAAATACCTAACACTTGTCCGGGATACAACGGTAAGAATTGCTATATTCAACTTTAATTTACTCAAGTTACTACAACTGAACTTGTGCTTTCTCTCTGTCTATTACATGGGTGAAGTTCTTGTCTTTTGCATGCTTGATAAAAAAAAAGTATAATTGTTGATTACAGTAAAATTTGTCATTAGAAATTTGTTAGTTTGATTATAATTCTGTAGAAAAAATTTTATTTAGGGAATTCTGTAGAAAAACTATTTTTATTAAGAATTATCTATATAAAGTAAATCTATCTAAAAATATTTCATTAAAATATGTTTGGAATTCTTTCTAAAAAAATGGTTCTAATTCCACAGAAATTAAGCTCAAATATGTTTAAGTCAATCGTATAATTTTTATCTCGTTTAGAGCATTTATTTCGAATGAAAAAAAATGTTTTTTTTTTTTTTTATTCTTATTGAAGTTTTTTATGACTATTTTCAATAAGAAACTATTTAACAAGCTAAAAACCATTAATTTCATATGTTTTTTTCTTCTTTTAAATAAAATTTTATCATGTTGCTGTTGTTTCTACTGCTACCTGCCCTATACCATGATGCCTGCTTGGTGAAAGCAAGCGAATTCAAGGCAGAGGACGCATTTCTTGTTTTTCAATGGTGTTATCTAAAGCCAAAAATACGACTACAGTCACCGTCCGTTTTAAAAGGACACATTTATGCATCCACAGATCGTAATTTTGACTTGAACCAGAGAACGATCACTCTTCAATTCAGTAACCCCAGAGATATTGATTTGTCATGGGAACTTGAAGGATTTAATGACTCGACAGATTGAACGTGCACCTGTCACCATTTACTACACAGGTCTGAGTCTTCGGCGGGTGGGAATCGAACTCACGACCACTTGGACATGGGTCCAAGCCCTACCGACCAGGCTGTATCACGGCCATGTGGAAGTATTTTATATCAAACAGATTACTACACTGTCTCCCTAACGAATCTTATCTCCGAAGAATAAGTTTTGCAAGAACTAAGGAAAACAAATTTCTTCACCTGCATCAAATAAGGGTTAGAGTCAATATAAGTTTCAACAGTATTTTTTTTTTTAAGAGATTCAAAAATTCTGCAACGAAGTATTTAGAAAAGGTTGGAGTTAGGGCCTCTTAATTTTTCAACACAACAAGAATTAGTTCATTATTCGAATATTAATATATATATTATTTAAATTGAAAGGAAAGTTAACATTTGAAAAAAATTTAATTATAAAAAAGATCCATTTTTTCCGATTTTTAAAAGGATTTTCACCAAGAACTTCTGAAGTAAGAATTGTTTCCATATTTTAACAGTTTGGAACAAAACATGTTTTAAAAAATAGTTTTAATCCTAATAAAACTAAATAGAACTTTCTAAATTTTATTTTTGACTATTCTGCAGCCCTCCCTCACCTCCCAGAATCTTTAAAACGCTGTTACCAGGAGGTAACAACCTATTCAGGATACTTTACACCCATGGGGAAGACGACGACATGTGACTTTGTAATATGGAGAGCCGACCCCACAGTATGCCGAGTACGGTTGCAAGTATCAGCATCTATCTATTTATCAGTACCTTGCATGTACAACTTCATACAGCTACCGAATGGTGAAAAAATGTGTGCTTCTGTAACTGAGAGGAGTAAGTTATTATTTTTATATTAAAAAATAGCAAAAATTTTATAACCGAAAGTCTTGTGGTCGGCTGCTGAGCAGTACCATGGGTACAAGGATCAGGAGAAAATTTCCTTTTCCTTCAGATCTATATCTAAATTGGAGATGAGATCTATATCTAAATTGGAGAAATGGCATCACAAATGAGATCCCCTCTGCGGAGGATCAAAGTTGTGAAGGCATGTCTTTGGATCATCCTCGGGTATGTTTCCCAGACCACATTCGAAAATGGCCCATTGTGCAGTTCTAGTGTGACGTTAATTACGTACTTATTTACTTTTCTTGAGAGAAATTTTTGTATGAATTTTATTAACTATTAACATATTTTTAATAAATCATAAAGGAAAAAAAAAGATTAATTTTTTTTCTCCATTTTACATAATTGTTTGATAAAATTTTTTAATAGAAGTTCATTTTTATAGGAGAAGTAGAATTTTCAAATGATCTTGATTTCATTGCATTGCATTATTACAACCTACATTACCCTATGTTTAATCTATGGGTAGACCAACTCAGTAATTCGTGCAACACTTTAAGAAGACCAACCATCACATCAAAAAGCAAAAGATGGGCTTGGAAGGTAGTTCCTCGATGATGAAACTGAAAACACTGAACTGGCTATCTACTTATTTTAGAACAGTCTAAATGGAACTTTGGAATGTATGGTTAAAGTTATTAGAAATTATGTCTAAGATGTCCAATGGATTATCATTTACGCTCTTGACAAACTTCATATTATCATTCATGATAATAAAATTCATGACACTGTAGTGGCTTTTGTAAACTTTAGAACAGTGTAAATGAACAATTGGGATGAACAGTTAAAATATTTTAAAAATTACTGTATAACACAGATGTTTAATGTATTGTTAATTTTTTCTTTTGATTAACTTGATATTGTTATCATTCATAATGATGAAATTTAAGACATGGTACTGGCCATCTGTTTTATTTTAGAACAATATTAATGGAAATTTGGAAAGCACGGTTAAAAATTATTTTATATCGGAGATGTCCAATGTATTAAATTTTTTTGACAACTATATATTATTATCATTCATAATGATGATGAAATTCAAGACTCAGGAGTAGTTGTTTGTTAATTTGAGAACAGTGTGGTGTAAATGAACCATCGAAATGAATGGTTAAAGATATTTAAAAAAATTTATACAACAGAGATGTTCAATGTATTTCTCATGAATGTATTTCTTATTTCTTCTTATCATGAAAAAATTGATATTATATTACAGAAATATCCAATGTATTATTTATTTGATATCTCTACTGGCTATCTGTTTTGTTTTAGAAGGATATAAACAGAACTTTGAAATTCAAGGTTCGTCACATTTTAAAAAATTTTATAAATGAGCTTTCTAATTTATTAAAAAAATTTTGAGGACAGTTTCGATATTGTTATCAATTACTTACAAACTCATTTATTTCCCATATAAAGTGTCCCCAGTTTTTTTTTTAACATTTAAGTAAATGTCTATTAGTAATTTAGTTAAATATAAAATAATTTTTTTTCACATTATTTAGATTTACTTCCTTGGATTATATGTTTCTTTTTTTTAATAACTCTAATATTTGCTAAGTATTTTGCACTAAAAACTAGTATTTATATATGATTAAATAAAATTGTTTTAAAAATAAAAAATAATAAAGACAGACACAAATTGATTCTTATACTCAAAAGCCAAAATTCCTAATTTTTTTCAATATCAATTGACAAATCCTCTTCTTCTCATTTGAATGGTTTAATCCATTAATTACCTTATTTCAATTTTACAATTATACTTTCCATATTTATTAAATATTGTGCAAAAAACTGGGAAAATGCTATATGTTTCATTTTAAAAGTAGAAAAATTGATAAAATTAAGGAACAGAAAACAAAGAACAAAGTCACTTCCAAAAGCTAAAATTATATGAGTTTAGCTTCATTTCAAATACTGGATGTCTCTTAAAATTACTTATCACTTGAAAAAATAAATTAATGAAAAATGAAAGGAGATAGAAATGTACAGTTTGCTGAGTTCTGTTTAGGAAACCAGAATAATTGTTCTCTTCAAGCTTTAATATTAGTTACAAATTTCATAAACAGCTTTTTACTGAGGAAACTTCAACATGATTTAGAAACACAGCTGTCATTTGCACTACATGCAGGAACAATGTGGTGAAGACTGGGAACCAAATTAAGACTAGAAAGACTGAAACTTAGTATATACCTATATTGGCTAAAAGCAGTCAAAATAAATGCATTGTGAACGAATAACTAGTGTGTAAAGAAATTTGTTTAATTAATTTTTAATATTTTTTATATTATTTACAGTTACATAACAAGTTATTAGTAAATATTAACAATAAAAAGATTTACTTTACTAGGAAAGAAAATATTAATTTATGCATTATTATTTGTACATTTTTTGCAAATGAAAAAGCAGTCAAAATGACTTCCTTTAGGCAACCTAGTGTTAACAGATGCCCATACAATTACTTTCTTTTGTAATGGTCTGACAAGCAGCAGAAAGCATTGTTTTATAGGCTTTTCTATTCACCAGCACCATCTGTTGATCAACTTTGCAACTACTAACTTTAAAACTTTATGAGGTTAAATAATAAAACTCTTTTAAGACTTCTCTTTTTGCTATAACAACAAATTATTTTCAGTTGTTCTTGTAAATAAAATAAAATAACATTATTAACCAAATGCTTGATATGTACAATCATTAAGAAATTTTATAAGAAATGAAAACTTAAAAACAATTTGCAGCAGATTAATGAAAAAATTATACAGCTGAACCTGTTTATCTCAAACCTCCTTATCTCGAAAACCTTTATATCTTAAAATTTCTACAATTGCCTACATTCACTGTCTAAAACCAATGTATTTTCCATGTTTATGTAGAATTTTTTTTCTTTTTCGAAACCTTCCTTTTATCAAATTTCTAATAATAAAGCACAAATGCCAAAACTTTCTTTATCAGTAGAACTTGCAAACAGATAAATTTCATGTATCCACAGGAAGTAGGGATGAACAGGTTGGGTGTGTTTCTTGGAATTTCAATCACTATCCCTGCTCTTCCTTAAATAGAAAGGAATACAATGATTCCAGCAGAAAGTGAGGGGTTAATGAGTAGTGACCACCAGGGGTTAGCTTTTCAAAATAGATAAGAAAGCCAAGAATAGAAATTCATTTTCATCTCAAAATTGCAACCAATGGATCAAAGGATAATTAGGAGTTTTTAAGTGAACAATAGAAAACAGTTTTTTAAGCTAACTTGTAGATACCATCAATGAAAAGAGTTCTCTTCCAAAAATAAAGATGTTAGATGCTATCAGAACTACTGTTTGCGTGGAGAAATGTGTCTCTACAAAGTATCTAAAATGGTTTTAAGAATAGCTGTAAAGATGATGAACAAGAGGTTGAAGGTATCAGTGGACAACATGCGGAACATAGAGAGATGCGGAAATCATAGATAATATATCAATAGAATATAAGATGAAGAGGAAGAAGCTGAAGATCATATTGATGAACCAAAAATTAATACAAAAGAGGTAGAAAAAGCTGTAGAATTCTTATAAACTATTCTGGAATCCCAAGAAAATGCTGGCTATGAGAAATTTGCTCTCTTTCTGAGATTAAATAAATAATCGAAACAAATAAGGTTATGCGTCAAAAATCTTTGAAAATTATTTTCAGCGTTAAATGTACGTTAAATTTTTTTTTTATGTAAATAGATGTATATGGGGTAATTAATTTAAAGAAATGCCTATATTTTTCTACTAAAAACAATTAAAGCACTTTTCATAGAATTTTTTAATTAAATTTAATTTTTTTAAAATACCCGTATAACTCGAAACCTTTTTATCTCAAATTTTTCGCCATTCCCATGAGCTTCGAGATAAACAGGTTCGACTGTATTAACTTATGAAGAACTTTTGGAACTGCCAAAAGGAATTAATGCATGAATTGGTTAAGGTGTATTAACATACATAAACAGCCCCAAAAATGCTTCTTCTGCAACACAATGGGCAGTACTTAAAATATGAAAGAGGTGAGATGTTTTGAAATGATTTACATCAAAGGACTTAGCAATGAAGATTTTGTTTGACTCATCACACATTCAGTTCAATACAAATAAATAATTTTCAAATTAAATTCTTTTTATTTTACTTAAGACTATACAGTACAATTCAAAGTAATAAATGGTTTATTAATTAATTCTATTTGTTTAATTGCGATATTTAATTTTCTATATACCATTTATTTATTGTATGTAAATGTATTTAGGTAATTTATTTTTTCCTTATTATATTTAAACTTAAGAAATAAAATATTGATTGTGGTATTTGGCTGCATTTTATTTATATCTTATATTTATTTAGTTTTCACAAATAATACAAATCAAACCTAAAGACAATTGAATAAAATCAGCTGTTTCATTTTGAATGAGGCTTGTGTATAAGCCAACATCATGATATAAATAGTAGATTAAAAAGGCAATTAATTTTTAAAAAAATACATGGAAATCATGACAATTTAAAGTGAGTTAGAAGTCAAAACTACCTCAAGCCATAAAAAAACACAACTAATCAAAAACTGAATTAAATGCAGCATTTTATTACAAAAAAGGTAAAATATTAAAAATAACTTTCTCATTTCGTTTCTTTTAAAATTGTTGAAGGAGTGTTTAGAGGAATACCAAAATTCAGAAGCAATTATTTTTTTTTATTTCTGTTACCATTTTTCACCTCTTCAATTTATTAAAATTTATAATTAGTTTTGTCATGGACAGTTACATTTTTAAGAACTATTTTATTACCATGTTTCTAAAGCGTAAATAAAGTTTAAAATCTCAATCAGCTATGGAATAAGAATAGAAACCCCTAAAAAATTTAAACATGCATTCAATTTACACAGTTCTACATACAAGGTAGGCATTTTGTCTGAAAAAAACCTATTTCTTCCAGGACACTGAAAGAAACCATGAAAAAAACTGGACAAAATGGGAGAAACGAAAATGACCAACATAACTGTTTAGCAATAAAAATCAGGAAAACAGCTTAAATTTAAACAAACTAAACCAGAAAGTTAAAAGCTTTTCACATCAACTCTTTTAAAAAGATAACTATTTTCTTAATGTTTATTTCAGTTTCATACAGAATTTCAAAATCTATATAATAATTAAAAGCTGGTTTGAATATTCATACTTACCAACATATAATTATTAAAATTGGTATGTTATTTGCAATAGCGAACATAATACATGACTTGTAGTGAATATCTTTAGTATGTTATTTGTCAATTTAGTTATATTAATAAATTTGGTTATAATTTTTAATCAGTTCGTTCTATAATATAATTAAAAAATAATGCATATACTATACTTTTTTGTGCAAAATACCAAAGGACTGCAGTTGTTATGATTTCTTAAGAAATCATTAAATTTATTTCCCCCCTAATTTTTGCTCTTTACTATTTACAATGTGAAAAATAAAAGTGAAATAGTTTGGAACTTTGTACTATTATTTAAGATAGATGGCAGTTATTAACTGTTTAAAAATTCTATTTTAATATCTATTTGAAAAAGTTTCTTCCACTTGGGTCAGAAGAAACCTTTTTTTCTGAGGCAATTTTCTCTATCATTTTTAATACTGTGGAAAAACTTGCCTTCTCAAGTTTCTTAGCAATATTTTAGCAACCAAAACTGCATCTAGCATCACTTACAANCTATTATTTAAGATGGATGGCAGTTATTAACTGTTTAAAAATTCTATTGTAATATCTATTTGAAAAAGTTTCTTCCACTTGGGTCAGAAGAAACCTTTTTTTCTGAGGCAATTTTCTCTATCATTTTTAATACTGTGGAAAAACTTGCCTTCTCAAGTTTCTTAGCAATATTTTAGCAACCAAAACTGCATCTAGCATCACTTACAAAACAAAAAACAATAAACATCAACCCCTTTAAATTGCTTTCCAGAAAGAAAAATATAAATATTGCAAATTAATATAACAACTCTCTGATACAATTTGAGGTAGAATAATAAGAAAGGAAAATGGAATTGAATTTTCAAAGCTAATGCAACATTTGTGAAAACAAAGAAAGATAATCTTTCTACCTTTTTATCTACAAAATTTTACAAATCACAAAAGCATGACTAACTATGTTTGTATTTTACAAGTTTCCGCTCAGAAATTTTTTATTGCTTTCTATATTTGGACTATTGGATGTGTATTAATTTGAAATTAAAGAAATTTCGTGAGAAAAAAATTGACTCATTGATGACTTTTGATATATAGATATAGAGGGAAGTTTGTTTACAATACAATACAAAAAAAAAATAAAAAAAATAATGCTTTTTTTTTTAACTTCAAGCAATCAGAAAAATATTCAATTCAATGTTTTGATAAGGGATTTAAAAACACTTATAATAATAAAAGTTTAAGCGAATAATATTATTTCCTACGCTTATTTTATAAAAAAAATATATGTTTCATAACTCTTTCACCACACCTGAAGGTCACATGGTAAGTAAATATCCATAATAAGAAATCTATAGGTGTCTAGGTGTCCAACTAAAAAAAATTTTTAGTAACTTAATGTTAACTGAAAATAAATTTTAAAAAAAAGATTAAAAAACTAGTTTGTAAAAATAACTAACTAATTCAATAATCTATGATTTTTTACTATGAAATTTCAGTATTGAAATGTCATGGAACAGCGCTACAGTGTACATTTTCACAAATCTGTTATTATAAAGACAAAAATAAATAAAATGTGAGTAAAAGAGAATTCATAGTAAAAGGGAAAGTAAAGAGAAATAATTTTTGTTAAATTTATTACCGCAACAAATGAAAAATTTGCACTGTAACATATACATTAAAGAGTACAAATATAATGAATGAAAATTAGTGAACACTTTACAGGATTTTCAAATATAATTGCTTTATACTTCGTCTTCATTCACCAGCATATTGGGAATTCCACCACTAACTGGAAAATGCAGACCCGTTTCAGGACATATCAAATCCCCGGAGACAACTTCCACCTACAACAAATTAAAAAATATTATATAAATTATAGAAGCTAAAAAAAATTATAGGTAATCCATTTGCCACCAAAAAGCACAGAAATATCTTTATTGATATTAATGAGAATTCAGGGTTGGCAAGATTTTGCCGCAGGTGGAAAAAACCATGGTAAATACCGGTAAAAACCGTCCTGGCAAAAACAGATTTTTGCCAAGCAAATTGCCAAAAAGTGGCAAAAACCTATATTTTCCAAGATGAGAGGACAAAAACACATTTTTGTGACAAAATTATTCCTAAAATTGAAATAAATACTATAAATATGGATAATTACAAAAAAATTAAAAAAAATTTTATTCCATAATTAAATCACAATATAATAATACATCATTTTAGTAGTTTAAAGCATTATTGATTGGAAAATTTGCAATTATTCTCTTTTTCCAGTGAAATGAACTTATTTTAAATTAATATAACTATAATTTAAAGCATAAAATATGTATCAAGATGTGTAGTTAATTATTGTACAAATAATATTTTTTTATAATAAATAATAATAATAATGATATTATACAAATAATAATATTTATTTATTTGTAAAAAAAACATTTATTTAAGGATTCTAAAATGAAAAAAAGGTCAAAAACTTTCAATCTTTTAAAAATTATTGCCTTTATATTAATTATTAATATGTTAAAAATAATTTTTTCATGTAATGTATCAAAATTATTATTCCTTATGATTGATTTAAATTTGTTTCAAGTATTTTGTAATAATATTTAATCAGCAATTTAGATAATTTGGTTTTTGCCGGTTTTTACCAGTTTTTGCCGGTTTTTACCAGGTTTTTGCCACTGTCCTGGCAAAAACCCCTTTTTGCCGGCAAAAACTCCAACCCTGTGAGAATTTAACTCGAGCTTAGAAGACATTGTCTTTTTTATGCTCTTCTAAAAATACTTTCTTTTTCACACATTTCCTGGTATAGTCAGCTTTATCTATTTATAGTAGAAGTTTCCAACTCAAAAACTAATTCATTCAGCAACTCTAAACGGAGCCTTAAAAAACAATAGGGAGTACTATATAGTACAGCAGAAAATAGGCAAAAATTAGAGGATCGGGGGAACTAATTCTAATGACCAGGGGAATTAAATTATTTAGCTTGCTGTTGTCATCTTTTTGACACAGTAAAAGCCTAAAAATATGTGAGTATACAAAATGCACTTTTTTGCGGCCATCTTGGAAAAACATTAATATTTAAAAATGTGCTGTATAATAACAAAATAAAGTATCATAAGCTGGAGTACAAAACTATAATGATTTTGCGAAGAAAATTGTTTAATAAGAAGATTAGGTGATAACTTTTGGCCCAAAAAAGTATGAGCAGGAAAATTTGGCAGCAGGTTTATTTAGTCATCATTTTGAACATTTAAAAAAAAATATCGTTTGAGGTGTCAAATAAATGGTATTTTTTTACAGATAATGATAACAGTAGATTTTAGAAGTAAATTACTTACAAAAGTAAAGTAGATAGTAATATTTTGACACACTAGAAAGATGTAGTAGTGGGAAGTGCTTTTTTTTTTATTTTTAACTGCCATCTTGATTTAAAAAAAAAAATACATACTAATGATTTATATACTATTATTTTTTTTTAGTGACATCTTGACTTTTTTTATAAAAAAATCACGTATGGTATCAACTGCTTGGTGTTTTTTATGCTAAAAAATATAAAATTGTTCCTAAAAGTAAAACGCTTGCAAAGATAAAATAAGTGGCAATTTTTTGACGTATTAAGAAACGCAAGTGTGCAAAATGTATATTTCTGGTTGCCATCTTAAAAGCTTTTTTCATATCTATATATATATTACTCTTACACGGCACCAAAAAACGGGCTTATTTATGTATAGCGATTGGCAACTGTAGTTTTTAGACCAATCAGGATTCGTTTTGAATCATCGGCGGATAGCTCGGGGTAGCCGAGAGACTAAGAAAGACTGCAGCCTAAAATAAGGCAGATTCATGCCCTGAAAACAAGATAATATTTAATTTAAACTCAATTAGGAATTAATTAATTAATTGAAGTGAGAATGCTTTAAAAGGCCGCTGTTGAATTGATAGTTTTCAACTGGGAGCTACCTAAGCTGGGCAGAAATGAGCAGTAAAAATCGTCTGAGTGTTTGTAATGAATGCATTGAATTTTTACACGCTTTATTTTAATGCATTGAATTTTTTATATTTTATATCACGCTTTATTTTTTATATCACGTTTTAAAATGCAGAATATTAGTGAAGCTGCTAGAGCTTTTAAGCGTAATGAAAGAAAACGTGTTCGAAGAGCCCAAGAAAGTGTTGAGGAAAGTTATGGAAGACGTAGATTGCAGAGATCACGTGCAATAATAACTGTTCAAGATGTAACAGTAGATGTCGAAGAGCATAATATTGGTTCAATGACGGAACACTGTAGTTATTGTAATGCTTACTTCTGGGCCAAGGAAAGAAATTCTTCTGGCAAATATACGAAATGCTGCCACGATGGAAAAATTAATTTGCCTACACTAATGGATATTCCCGAGTTGCTGCAAAAATTATTAAGTGATAATTCGATTGAGGCACGAAATTATCGAAATCATATCCGGGAATATAATTCTGCTCTTGCTTTTGCATCATTTGGAGCACACATAAAACCACCTTCTGGAAATGGACCGTATTGTTTTCGGATTCATGGTCAAATTTATCATATGGTGTCACCTTTGTATAACAATGATCATAATAATGCTGGATACGGGCAGCTGTATATTTTTGATTCAACTGAAGCTACCAACAGACGCATTGAAAACAATACTGGATGTTTACGCTCTGTAATGGAACAATTAGATGGTCTGTTGAGGCAAATTAACCCTTTTGCTGCATCATATCTTCAGATGCATCAGTTGATTCAATTAAACCCTGCAACAGATGTAAAATTAGTTTTTATGGAAGATCCCGCTTCAGATTTGAGACGGTATAATGCTCCCACATCAAAGACAGAAGTTGCTGCCATATTCGTTGGAGACAATGGGGAACCTCCATCTAATCGAGATTTATGTATCTATCCTGTTGCAGACTCTTGCAAAACTATTTCTCCTATGAATCCATGGATTGATCCAATGGTCTATCCACTTCTCTTTCCACAAGGAGATTGTGGTTGGCATGCTGGAATGGAGCATGTACAAGAGCGACGTACTGCCAAGCGTATTCGTGTAACACAATTACAGTATTTATGCTTTATGCTTACAGACTTGCTATCCGCAGTGAGTTCAGCCTTCTTCATAGCAGTGGAAAGCTCTTTCAGCAGTACATCGTTGATGTTTATGTCCGAACAGAAGGTTCAAGATTGAACTATTTAAGATTGAACCAGAAAGATTTACGTGTTGAGTTGTATCAAGGTCTTTTGGATGCTCTTCAAAGTGAAGCTCACTCAAACAATGTAAAGTTAGGGAAGTTAATCATTTTGCCATCAACCTTTCAAGGATCTCCTCGCTCCATGCAACAAAATTACCAAGATGCCATGGCAATTGTTAGAAAATTTGGGAGACCAGATATTTTTCTAACTTTTACATGCAATCCAGCATGGCCAGAAATAGTGAGTGCTCTACAAAGACACCAGCGTCCTGAAAATAGACCCGATATCATTGTTCGTGTCTTTAAATTGAAATTGACAGAACTTTTGGATGATATTTTGAAACGTCATGTATTTGGTAAGGTTATTTCATTTATTTATGTTATTGAATTCCAAAAACGTGGGTTACCACATGCCCATATGCTGTTGACATTGGATTCTGCTGCTAAACTTCGAACTAAAGATGATATCGACAAATTTGTGAGTGCAGAACTGCCCAATAAAACTCTTAACCCTCGACTTTATGATATTATTACAAAATGTATGATTCATGGTCCCTGTGGCATACTTAATCCAAATTCTCCTTGCATGAAGGAGGGTTTGTGTTCTAAAAATTTTCCGAAAGATTTTCAAGAGACGACTCAAGAAAATGTGAACGGTTATCCAGTTTACCAGAGAAGTATTACAGAACCTATCAAGGTAGGTAAATATGATATTGATAATCGTTGGGTTGTGCCTTATAACCCTTGGTTATCAAAGAAATTTTATGCTCACATCAATGTTGAGATTTGTGCTTCGGTCAAAAGTGTGAAATATCTTTTTAAGTGTGTTTACAAGGGCCGTGACACTGCATCTATTAAGTTGCAGCTAAACGATGATGTAAATCATGATGAGATTTTGACATTTCTAGATGGACGCTATGTCAGTGCTCCTGAGGCAATGTGGCGGCTAAATGAATTTCATATGTCTGAAAAATCCCACACTGTTATGAGGTTAGCTGTTCACTTACCAAATCAACAGCAAGTAATTTATCAGAGTGGCCATGAAGTTGAAGCTGTTGCTCGAGCCTCCGCCAGACATACGACTTTAACAGCATGGTTTCAATTAAACCAAACTGATGTTGATGCCTGCAGATATTATTATTCTGATATGCCTCATTATTATGTTTTTGATCGTAGTAATAATCGGTGGAAAAGACGTCAAAGGGGTGGGGACCAAATAATAGGCAGGATGCCCGTTGTCAGCATTCAAGATAGCAAACGTTATTTTTTGCGAATGTTGCTGCTGCGGAAACCTGGTGCCATTAGTTTTGAAGATTTAAAAGCAGTTAATGGAAATGTCTGCATCAGTTTTCAGCAAGCATATAGGGAGCTTGACTTTCTTGAAGGAGATGAGCATTGGCATGATACTTTGCGTGAGGCTTCACTGATTCGAATGCCACATCATTTTCGAATGTTTTTTGCAGTTATTTGCGGATTTGGTGAAGTAGAAGATATTCCTGCTCTTTGGACACAGCATAGAGATCTCCTTTGTGAAGATTTTGCGCACCAGCACTCGGAGGAAACAGCATATCAGTATGCTCTTGCTGAAATAAATGATCTATTGTTAGTTTATGGGTTAAATCTGAAGAAAGTAAGACTTCCAGAGGTTAACTTGCCTCATATTAGCCAACTTTTACCAGCCTATGATGTGATAGAAGAGCAGACGAAAGGTCAACTTAACTATGGAAAGCTAAATATTCAACAACGTGCTGCTGTTGATAAAGTTATGAGTGCCATATATAAGAATGAAGTTGAAAATCTTTTTTTTTTAGATGGGCCTGCCGGCACTGGAAAAACTTATATCTATTCAACTTTGTTGCACTTAATCCGTGGAAAAGGTCATACAGTGACTCCTGTAGCATCAACTGGAATTGTGGCTACTCTTTTGAAAGGCGGAAGAACTGCTCATTCCATATTTAAAATACCAATTATTTTAAACGCTACGTCTACGTGCAATTTAAAGCCTACATCTCCAGAAGCTATTCCATTATTTAATTCTAAATTAATTATATGGGATGAAGCTCCGATGACGCATGTACATGCATTTTTAGCTGTAGATAGACTTTTGCAGGACATAATGAGCTGCTCACATCCTTTTGGTGGGAAAGTTGTGTTGATGGGAGGAGACTTTCGACAAGTTTTGCCTGTCATTCCTAAAGGTTCCCGTTCGCTGACAATTGCTAGCTGTCTTAAAAAACATCCCCTTTGGACTAAATTCAACATTTTATACCTTAATCAAAATATGTGGGCACTTTCAACTGAAAAGGCGTTTGCTGAATGGTTATTGGATGTTGGAAACTGCAAAGATGGTGAAATGATTAAGTTGCCTGATATTTGTTATCCATCTAACCAAGACCCCATAAAGCAACTATATTCTGATGTAGATTTTAACACTGTAACTCCGTGCCAACTCAAAGGTAGAGCAATTTTAACAGTCACCAACGATTTATCAATGGTATTCAATAATGATGTGCTGGAACTACTGCCAGGAATTACTAAAATTTATGAAAGTGTGGACACTGTCATTAGTGATGATCCACAAGATCAACTAAGCTACCCTGAGGAATTTTTGAACACCATCACTCCTACAGGAATGCCTCCCCACAAATTAAAGATTAAGAAAGGTGCCATAATAATGTTACTGAGAAATTTAATGCCATCTAAAGGACTTTGTAATGGCACTAGATTAATTGTTACAAACTTGCAGCATAATTTAATTGAAGCTAAACTGATCGATGATGATGAAGCAGGTACATTTTTCATTCCAAGAATACCTCTAATCCCCTCTGATAACAACATGCCTTTTTCTTTTAAGAGAAAACAATTTCCTATTAGGCTGGCCTTCTCCATGACTATAAATAAGTCACAAGGTCAGACTTTTGAGAAAATCAGTTTAGTATTGACTAAACAAGTTTTTAGTCATGGACAACTTTATGTTGGCCTGTCAAGAGTTAAGTCATTTGACAGTCCTTCAGTAATTGCTCCAAGATGTCAAATCTATAATTGTGTTTTTAAAGAAATTCTAAATGCTTAGTGTTAATTGAAACTTCTATTGGTAGTAGGCAAGGGGACCTGCCAAAATCAAAACTCCCCGATGAGAAATGCAGCATGGCGACCTCCACGTGGTATTTCTCGGGTAATGCTAACAGCCATGCATTTTAATTTATTGTATGATGTAAAACATCCTTATTTTGTTCTAAAATGTTATGTACTTTATCACAAATGTTAATTAATATAGAAATTGATTTCAATAATGCTGATCACCAAAAAATATTTCATTTGGCGATAAAACAAATTTTTGTGTTCTTGAAAATGAAAGACTTTTTGAGGGTTATTATCTCACAAGGAAA